AAAAGTAAATTTAAAATAAAAATAAATACAAACATATATAAATAAAAATTAAATGTAATAAAAAAAAAAATATAACTTAACTAAATATAAATAAAAAATATGTAAATAAAAAAAATAAATACTCGTAAAAAGTATAAATAAAAAAATATTAAATTTTTAAAAGTTAAAAATAAAAGAAAATAATAAATATATAAATACAATATAAAAAAAATTAAATATAAAAAAAATTATGTATAGAAAAAATTAAATCAAAAAAATTAATAACAAAGACAATATATTTTAGTAGCATCAACTGTTTTTATTCAATTCCCGCACGCTTGCGGATATTGTAACGGGTAAAGATCCTGTTGTACTCGAGTGGATTGTTCTTTGCCAAAGAATCTTTCAGCACACGCCGATATTTTTGTAGCAAATCTACTTCCTTTTGCAAATGTTTTTCCACACACTCTAAATGTGGTTGCATGAATCTTTCTGGTGTATAAGTTCCCATCAAGCCCATACGATGATGTATATTGCCATTAATATTAATGTAATCAGTTTTATGTTTTATAAGAAAATCCCGCAATCCCTTAAATTCAACATTTGTTTTCTCCAACAAGGAGTTCGATCTTTTACAAACTGGTGTCCCGTTTGGACCAACCAAATCAGATCTAACAGAAATAAATGGCCCCTTCTTACCAGGTGAAGTGGTATCGTTCATAGGTTTATCAGTACATAAATTCAATTCAGAATATTTTGTTTCATGTAAGTCTTCTGGTAACATATTATAAAGTTCAGCATCAAAATCAATATGTTCTGGCTCGTTTAAGATTGGATTCTCTTTTAACTTGTATTGTTTTTTGGGTTCAGTAGCTATTTGTTTAGTTGTGTCCTTCAAAGCAACTGTTTTTTGCATTAATTCAGTTTTCTCTTCCTTCATAGTATCATTCGAATACTTAGCAGATTCTGCATCGATAGGAACAACTTTCTTAATTGTAGCATTTGAAGCGACTATTGATAGGTCTTTTCCAGTTTTCTGTTCATTTATACCCTCGCTACCCTCATTAGCGACTTTTGCATTATCAGTAGCAACTTTATTAAACACATCTATTGAAGCGGTTATTGGTAGCTGTTCTGTAATTTTTTGAACATTCACATTGTCGTTGGAACTATTAGCGACTTTAAGACTACCAGGAGCAACTTTAACTGCACCTTGTGAAGCGGCTGTTGGTGGCTTCACTTCAGTTTTCTGTACGTTTGCATTACCGACTTTTACATTGCCAACAGCATCTTTTTTAATCAAACTCGTCGAAGCAGGTATTGGAAACTTTTTTGTAATTATTTGAACATCTATAATGCCGTTAGAATCATTAATGACTTTGACATTACCAGGTGCAACTTTAGTAATTGCGTCCTGTGAAGCGACTTTTGAATGCTTCATTCCAGGAGCAACTTTTTCAGTTGGAATCTGTAAAGGCGATGTTTCTTTGCTCATTTTCCCAACGCCTGCTTGTAGTTTCTTAATATTTTCAGTTTCGGATTTTGTAGTTGGCTTGAGTGTGATGTTTTTCACATCTGCTGTAGCTGTATTTTTTGCTGCCTTAGCCGGAGCTTCATTAACAGATTTGCTAGTAAACTGGGTTTGTTTTTTTGCACGACTTGAAGTGGTTGGCTGCTCCTCATCGTTATCAGAGTCATTCACAAGCCTACCTTGTGCATCACGCTTTAACCCAAGTTCCTGAAGCAAATTTGGCTTGTCTTTGCATTTATTATCCTCACCTTGAAAATTAGTTTCACAAAAATCACCGTCCATGTCATAGAACTTAAGGCCCATCATTTCCATGGCTATTTCTGTTAAAACGTATGTCATCTTGATGTTTGTTGTTATTCAGAGTTTAGAGAAATTACAAGATTCCGCTAAAAAATTGTTACTATAAAAATATATATCTAATAAAAATATTATCAGCATTTCAAAACAATTAAGTTAACTTACAGTTTCGAGTATATTTTATAAACTGTTTAACAGGAAAAAACACTAAAAATTATTTTTGGAGCTCAAATCAATCCCACACTCAACAATTGGCTTTTACCACTAAATATGAAATAATGCCGGCATTCGTTTATAATACCATTTTTCATATAAAAAAACATTAACCAGTGTTGTATTGTGTGAAAAAAATATGTAGTATGAATGCAGTATGAAACGAATATTACTTTTCGCCCTCAATTTTAATATGAACATAATGCATGTCATAAAATCGGTATTCTCAATCGACTGCCTAAATCGAAGCAGGACATAACTGATGATTATGAACGATTTATAAAACAAGTTAACGAGGTTCATTAAACTTATAGCATTGACAGACGGGAGCTAAATTATCATTAAGGGGCTAAATTATAATTTATTTGCTCATTTAGCAGTTTTAAATGATCATTTATGGTCATTAAATGACCGAATTTAACCCAATTTATTCGTCATTTAGGTTTATAGAAATGGTAATGCTGCATATGCGAATGAAACAAAATAAAAAATGGAACAAATTTCAAGCTATTTGGTTGTCAAAATGTAAACAAAACATATTTGGAAACATTGTAAGTACTCGTTATATTTTTATATATATCATATTTTTTTTATATATTTTATATTTCTTTTGATTTTACATGAATCAAATTAATAAACTGAAGCGCCACGAATGGACGGAGGAGGATGAGATTTTCCTTACAGCAACTTCTTAATGATAATTTATACCGTCTGTCAGGGTATTTTTAAAATGATCATTTAAGGCTGCTTAATGATAATTTAGTGCGCTCGTCTGTTAATGCTATTAACTAGTACCGAAGCTGATTAAACTGTTGAAATTTGACATTGACATATCGCTGTAAAAGTTAGCTTCAAAGTTTATTTTGTAACATTTTTAAAAAGTACAAAACAAGCAAATGTATTTCTTTATAATTAAATACGCTCAATTGCTGCAATGAATAATTTTCTTCCGTTTTAATTCGGTATTAATTTAAGGTGTATTTCTTTGATATGAATGCTTCAATAAAACACATAGTGCTCAAAATAAACGCGCAAAGCAAAAACAAATGCGCTAAAATAAGGCAACTTTCTTGAATGCGCTTAACACGAATAAGCACGTCGTACTACAATGGTGACAAATCTTAAAACAGATCTATTATATATATATATAGACCAGTTGAGAGAGCGTAACATTCTTGTCGTTATTTGAAAACGTTAGGTTGCGGTTATATTTCTTCTGAATTTTGTCTTGCGTGTTCGTACATATGTTTTCTCATGCGAAAACACTGACAGTTCTGGTTTGTTCGTTTTGAAATCGAAATGGATAGTGAGGATGAAATATATTTTGCGGCAAATTGATTATCAAGTTATTTATTAGTTTGTATCTTACTCAAACAAAGATATTGGCAAATCACAAATCCATTTCCTTTAAATAGTAAATGTTTTTAAATTTATTTTCATTTATAAAGTTAAAGTTACGTAAAAATAAACGCACCTCTCAATTTCACTATTAATATCTTCGATTTTTCTCGAACTCATGAAATTCAAACAAAATATTTTATTTATTCAAATATTCGCATGAGAAAGATAAGAATTGTTCGCGAATTGTTCGCAGCAACTGTAACCACTCACATATGATTACATATACATATAGATTTGATTTGTTCGTACGAACATGCAAGACAAAATTCGCATACAATTTTTCCTTCATCCATTATGTCTGTAATAAAAACTTAAAATTAAATTTTATGAATTCTAACTCTAACTGAAAACAGAATTCTAATTCACTATTAAAATAAAAAGTATTTAAAAAATATTTGCAGTTATTATTATAAAATTTTCTTTGTTTTTCAAAATTTATTTCGCTGTTTTTATTCGCTGTATATTTATTTTATTAGCTGTTTTTATCAGATTTTATTCGTGAAAATACGTGTAATGAGCGTAATCTGGCATTTTATTTGTGTTATGCTCTTAGTTTGTACTTTATTTGTATTTTACTCGAGTTTTACTACGAGTAGCTCGTGACGCAACGTACTGTTATATCATGTTTCCAATGCAGCTGAAACTACTTATGTGAATGTAATGAATGTGAATGCACGTAAAATAGCTTGTATATATAATAAATATATCAAATTTTGTCAATTTCTCTTGTAGGAAATTTATTTTTAAGGATTGCATTCGACATTTGTCGCTTTAAATGAGTTGAGACCAATGGAAACCTTTTGCATAAGAGGTAATTAGTTTTGAAAATATGGTCTTAACTATTCTCATGCAAATCAAATGCAGAATTCCCATATTAATTTTTTTTGCTTAAAAAAAAACTTTATTGGCAAATGAACATTTCGTATTATGTTTAACTTTATATAGACCGTGTGCGAGTTTGAGTAAATTGAGGTAAATAGTAAATTATGTCGGTATGGCAGCGAATGTTTTTATTTACCAGAATTTAGAGTAGAGTATATTAGACAAAAATTAGGTAAATTAGGTGTTACCATTGTAAAAATTTTATAAGACGTTTCATAAGTAAATAAATAAATTTGAAAACTTTTAACCAAATATAATAAATAATTGCAATAACTAAATAAATATATAAATATTTACATAAGTCCAGCGCCAAAAATCCCTAGGATAAAGTAATTTTAATTTACTTTACCTCAATTTACTTGAACTCGCACACGGCAATAACGTTTTCACTTTTAGGTCGTGTGCGAGTTAGGCTAAGTTGATGCTAAATCAAATGGGAGATTTTTTAGGATTTTTTGCACTGCACACATTTAGCCATTTATCAACACGTATCGACACATCACTACATTATCTGCTCATCTTAGAATTTCCCTCATTTAGAACGCAACTTAGCCTAACTCGCACACGACCTTAATATTGAAATATATTTTAATAAATGTTTAAGATTTTTTACTTATTAAACTTACTATTATTCCGTAATTATAATGTGTTTAAAAATGTTTAATAAAAATTTTTATTTTCTGTGACCGATAGCTTCTGCAAATTGAAAGCTGTCAGAATATGGGTGTTTAGGTCATTGCAACTGTGAATAGCAAAATTGAAAATTGAAAATAAAGGAGAACAAGTTCAATCAGCACAAATCGCGATACATTCTGATACGTGCTGGTAGTTTTTATGTTTATATTTTATTTTTATCCGTCAAAGAAAGTCAAAATGCATTAAATCATTTGGCATTAATGAGTTAATTTAAGCGTGGAGCAGTGTAAATCTTTTGACAACAATGAAAATTAATGAGAAAAATTTGTGCGTCTTTGCCACAAGTCCTCCGTATGACTGCGAAGGTTTTCTTAGTAAGCGAGGTGAGGTCAACAAGGCATTTCAACGACGTTATTTTGTGCTGAAAGGAAATTTGTTATTCTATTTTGAGCGTAAAGGAGATAAGGAGCCCCTGGGACTAATTATAGTTGAAGGTTGTACAATTGGTAAGAGTATTCAATAAAATGACATATGAATTCGATTAGTATAATGAAGTGTTTGATTTTCCTTTTATTTGGCACGACTAGAATTATCGGAAGAAAGTGATCAGTATTGTTTTGAAATAGCTTTTAATGGTAATCGCACTTATATACTATGTGCGGAATCACAGGAAAGTATGGAAACCTGGATGAAATCACTTACGTGTGCAGGGTATGAGTATAAAAAGTTGATGGTAGCAGAACTACAAAGACAACTGGAGGAGATTGAGGGTTCACGTAATAGTAAGTTGAATCGTTTTGTATATATGTAATTGGTTATAGTTGTCTCTATTGCATATTATTGTTGTTGCTGTCAATGTTTGTGTATGTAGAAATGCTTGGCGAAACTATAAATACAATTGTATCTGCACCTAAACCGCCGCCACGCCGACAAAATCCTTTCAATCGACCAGCACCACCACCACCACCACCTGCCTCAAATGGTCATATTGCTAATAACACTGCCAACACACCGTTTATAAACGGTCATTTTGGCGCAACGTCACAGCGTTCC